TGGCTAAACTGAGCTCTCTCTCTGTTCTCTGAATATGCAGAGGACAAGGAACCAACTCTTTCCCATCAAATGAATAGTGAACAGGACTGATATTGTCATATGTATCCTTTTGTGAACTTTCGGGAAAACGCTCGTCAACAACCTGAAATCTTTTGTTTCTCTGCTTTCCCTTGATAGGATCTTTGTCAAATCCGCTGTCAGTGGATTGGCTCTCGACAATTGGTCTCGACTCTGCGCCAGAAACAGTATTATCTTCAGAGTCACAACTCTTGGAAGCGTTTTCAGAAGTTTTGCCAATTGTGCTTAATATCCGGGTTGCGTAATTGGTCATCTCAGAAGGTATGCACTCTTCATCTCCAGAAGACTTTTTTTTTCTTCCTCTAACTGATCCCTTTTTCGACGGAGTTTCATTGTTTCTATTACTTAAGAACTCGCTGAGTAGACGAATCTTCCAAGATTTCCTACGATGCAACCCAGTCATACACTCGGGGTTATGACCAAAAAGATGTCTACTTTCTGATGACACATTACTGCATTCATCCCGTTCCATGGAAACATGACTGTTCTTATGATTCTTCTTGATTGCCTTATTAGGCGTATCATCAACCACACCAGCAATCTCATATGAACCATTAACAGCTTCTTGGCTCTCTTTCCAACTGTTTCCATTGAAATGTTTGCCTTCTTCTTGCTGGCGAGTTTGCTACTCTTGCTCTTAACAGTAGAAGCATCCTTAGCTCTGCGGCGAACTTTCTTGAGAAATGTAACTGTATATCTTACAAAAGTTATACATCTGCTTAAAGAGAACCAAAATCACAACTTTTAAACTCATATTTGCCTTACAGCCAAAACTACCTGTCTGGACATCATTTTTCTTTTCTTTCTTATCAGTGACAGTCAGCGAATTCAATGTTCTTTTACTTGGGATAGCTAAAGAACCAGCATCAAATTTCTTCTCCTTATTAGACCTCGAGTGTGATTACAATTGACAATCTGAAAAACAAAGTCGAATGAGTTTGAGTTGTTAATACATAAGTAGTAATCAATGTGTTTTGATAGTTTACCATTGTCATTATTTATCTCTTTGTCGTTGATATCTCTGATGCAGCTCGCGGAACGCCACCATCTGGACTTTAGAATAGATAAAGAGGGAAGAGAATAGCTTTGGTGGTTCCTTAACTCAACACTATCTTCTGAAAACGGCCAACATTTTCTATGATCTCTCTCGCGGATCTCAGCTACAAATCCACTGCATTAAGAATATAATAACTCAGTTCACTGCATTAAGAACAATCAAAATACTAATCAGTGACATACTCAATGCTTACCGTATGGAGAAATGATCGCATTTGCCCGCATCAGTTTCATTTGCACCCGCTAGATCTATAGATATTGAATTAATCTTGATGGATGATCTCATTATACTGATTTGACGCCTAGCTTCACTCTTTTATTACCACCATTTTACTAGAGTAACAAAAAAAAAAGTTACACATTAAGATATGTTAGCATCTAAAAAAAACTGATCAATGCATTGTATATATGTGCTCAATGATCACTCGAGACATGCGTTTCATAATCCCAAAGATCTCCACCAAACATTCATCTATATAAACGGATTAAACATCACGAAAGCTACGATCTTGAAGCTTATCATCCCGTTACCAAACACATAAGAGAATATCCCTTTGTCCAATAATAAGGAACCCTAGGTTTACATACAATCAAAAACAAAAATTGTTCACACATTGACGAATTCCATGTAGATTTCTCAAAGAAATTGATTTTGTGTGTCAAATTCACGCACAATTGAGACCATTTGGGATAATACATGTATATGCACATAACTCCAACCTAAAATTAGGGTTTTCAGAGACATGGAAAACACTCCAAAAAGCTGCGACCTTTCTTCAATGTCACCATCCAATAACTATGGATTCAAATTTCAGTATAATCTTCTTCACAAATCCCACACCACAAAAAAAAAACCCGAAAAAATATTAATTTTATAATATTTTAAGTCATTAAGGGTTACTAATCAAAAATTAGAATCCAAATTAGTCCCGTATTAATGATGGGCTTATCTTTTGTTTAGCAAATCCGATTTAATTGTATTATTATCTTTGTAAGCACGAGTCGCGCGAGACGAACAATAAACAGTGAAGCACTAAGCGAAATGTAATCAAGATCCAAAGTCAAGCTACAAGTCAAACCAAAAACCCCTTTCCGACAAGATCAGCCATTTCTAAACCTTAAACACCACGAAACGACAAAAATAGAGATTCAGGTCGGAAATACGCACCTGGGCAACCAGAGCTGAATTATTCGGACCGTCGTGCGAAATCCAGCTCGATCCTTCACGGCGAGGTAAGAAAACTGTATCAGAAGATAGAGCAGCTTGTGGAGAAGACGATTACGGAAGATTCGAGGATTGATTCTCCTGGAAATGAGTATGATTTGAGTGCGAATTTTAGAGAAACCCTATGCTTTCACGCAAGAGGAGAGAGAACGAGGATTTTTATTTATTTTGCTGGTAGAGAGAGAGTGTGTGTGTGCTCGAGGAGAAAAGAGAGAAAAGAAAACTTTTGGCTTTTTATACTTGAAATGAGGGTTTGGTACTAAT